TTATATTTCCATGTGGCCTTGCCAGAGGTCCCTCCCTTATACAGACCTAGTTTCCACAATTAGTGTGAACTCAAAACAATTTAGCTATTGAAGACGTTAAATCCTAAAGGCCTCGTGGGGCTATTTTCACCTCTTTGCACTATTTCCAGGCTCCCAGATTATATTGTAAGTGTAAATTAAGGAAGTCTCACAATCCAATGGTTCTGACTTGAACATATCTTAAGCCTCATTTTCTAATGCTTTTATTGGCCTCATTTTAATGATTTCACCACACTGAAAGATAAACAGTCTACAATCTTAAAATCATGTCTTAGAAAGTACTTTGCTCCCATTCTTAAATGTACCTAGTACTGTTTCTCAGGTATAAAAATTGACCACTGATCCATTTTCTCTTTTGTCATTAAAATCTTTCAGAAATTTATTTTCATTACCTGACCAAGTTATAAATACCATGCAATATCTATATAATTCCATTTTTTAAAATAATAAATTGGTTTCACTTAATAAAATACAAAACCAGATGAAATTACTCTGTGTATCCAATGGTTAGGAATGTACATTTGGCAGTTGCTGGGGGATGGGGGAGAAGCTGAAAAGCTAACGCCTCTACCCAATATACAAGATCAGTTATAGATCATATATTCAAGAAAACACAAAATATAATGTAAATGGTTCTTATTTCATTTTTTAATCCATGGTTTCCATTATATACCCAAAGAATATGAGCTTAATTTTGATGCTCTCTCTCTCCCCTACCCAATCTCACCCCCTGTGGTGCCTTTTTAAAAACTTGGGGCCTCCTCATCTTCACAGGGTCATGTTTCCAGCCATGTTTCTCAGTTGGATATTTGTGCCTCACAACATAGTACCTGACACACAGACCCTTTATAAACACTTGTGAAATGAGTTTTGGAACCTGAACAAGAATGACCTTGATGTCTGAGAAGAAATACAAGTCCAAGAATCAGAAAATTAGCTGAACAAGATTTGATAATGAAGATGATGGTGATTATAGTTGTTGTTTAATGACTATAGATGCTTAACATTGTACTGAAAACTTTAAAAATACAATCTTATTTTACTTTAATCATCACAACATCAGGCATCATTACCCCTTTCACACATGAATAAACTGAAGCTTTGAGAAATAAAGTAATACATTCAAGGCCACATAGCTATTAAGTATATATCTACTGGGATTAAAGCACCTTTCTGTTAAACAGCAAAATTAATGCCTTTTTATCCTTTCTGATCTGGTCTCCCATCTTTTCATCTCTTAAATATGGAAATTTTAATAGTCATTAAGATCTCTTCCAACTTTAAGATGGTCTAGATGCAAGGTGACACACATCTCAGAAAATTTACATTCAATTAGTTTTGCTTATTTATTAAAATCCTGAAAAAAGACAAAGAAATGTGTCTTCAAAGCTGAAAATTTAGGAACCTTGAAAGTAAATAAGATAGGAAATTTGGAGAAGGTTGAGCTTTTCAAGGGTTTTCCAGATTCACTTAAAGCTAGATTTAGCTTTGTCTTTTTAGAACAGTTAACATTTACTGATAACTTGCTATGTGTCAGAAATTGTATCAAAAGTTTATATATATTATCCCACATAAATCTCAAACAACCCCCATAAGATAGTACTATTATTGTTCTCAATTAACAGATGAAGAAACAAAGTTTAACTTGCTTAAGGCCACACAGCTAGCATGTGTGGACTAAAATCTAAAGCTTGGACTAAAATCCAGACATGTTTAACTCTGAAGCCCACAATTTTAACTTTGAGATTGTGCATGCTACTTTAGCTTATTTATGTGCACATTTAATGTAAATTATATCATTGTCATTTCTTTTGAAATAAATCCCATAGGCTGTAGATCAGAAAGCTGCTTAGTTTGCTATCACATAAGCCAATACCATAAAAGTGGTGACACTTACCACATATCTCATGATGCATGCCTTATTGGTGCAATTAAATATCTCTGAGTCACTCTCAGTTACACAATTATGAGTTACCTATTCTGCTTTCCTTTCCTTTAAATATTTCTTTTTGTCCAAAGTGGATAGACTAACAAGCATCAAAGAAAATAGACAGTCACATCAATGAGAGATTTGCAATCTCTGACCTGAAAAAAATCTCCAGAGAAAAAATATAGTGCCTAGGGTGATTGGCATAACTGAAATCCTACCTTACTAAACGTATTCTCACAGCACATTCAGTACTTATTAGAAAGGATTATTGACACTTTCAGAAGATAAAATCTCTAAGACCCTGAAAGCAAATTAACTTTGGTAGTAAGAAGAATTCAAGTTAGATGTTACTTTCTACATTCAGACAATTTTATTTTCATTTTAACTCAGACATATACTATCATTTATCTACTTGCATGTATGAAGCAAAAATTCACATATTTTTCTCTTCTACTTTGATCTTCTGAAAGAAGTGACCTTCAAGTTAAGCTACACAGAAAGTATAGAAATGCTCAAAAAAGGCACATTTAGATTCTGTAACTCTTTAGAGAGAGGAGGATAATTTCAGAAGCTATAATTTTTTATAAGTATTAGTTCATTTTTATTTTAGCAAAGTACATACTTTGTAAAATAACACTAATAAGGTATGTTATTTTTCCCTAACCAACTTCTTCGCAATGAAATCCAACTGCAATATTCATTTAGAAGTTTGATAATGTTCTCTTTTGTGAGTTTTGGGACTATTTGAAAACCCATTACATATAAATTATATCATGGAAAAGCTGTATAAATATTATATTATGGCACATGCTGTTCTAAGGATCTGTCAGGATTTCCTTTATACACTGAATTTTGAGTGGTATATAAATCAGATATAAAAATTCATGTTTGACTGAAACTTAGCACAAAAGGCCTCCTCCAGAGGCAAATGCTTTTTGCAAAATGTGGTTTGAATTATGTTGGTCATTTTTAACTTACAGAAATGTAGAAAATGTATTTGTGGTTTTAAAGGAGAGAGATTCTTTCCATTTTTATAACTCATTAGGAAACTTTAGAGTACTTTAGACTGTTTTGTGGTTTAGTTCTTCTCAGGTGTTTCCCCAAAGCAATACTGAAACCTGAATGGTGTCTGCTATGAGTCCAATGATAACTGTTCTGAGCACAACTGTGTCTATGGAGTATACATACATACACACACACATACACACATACACACACACACAGAAGAAGTATATATATATATATATATATATACACACACGTACACACATATCTTAGAATAGAAGTTCCAATAATATGACTGGAGTATATTAGGCCTATCAGTTGTCCACTTTGTTCTGATATCAAGTAAACTTTCATCTATCAAGAGATCTCCTATATGTACCATAGTTCAGCATGTATTGCTTGTAATTCTAAAACTGGATCTTTCACTTGAAGAAAAATCCTGAGTTAAACACTGCTTCTTGTATGTGTTCTTTGATAATAAAGTTTTGCCTTTTCTAAATTTTGCTTTCCTCTAACATATAGAGCAACTTGTGGCATGTTTAACAGATATTTGTGAAGATCTCATTTGTAAACTATTTAATATATGTATGCTTATGCATATAAATTACTTTGTTAAATAGTGTTGAACCTATTTTGTCTATATATATACTATGTTGCTGAGTAATTGAATAAATATCTAAATTATTATTTTAGTATATGTAGAGATTATGATTATATTTTTTCTTAATAACATAAGTTAAAATCTGAGAAAAGTTTTTGGGGGACTGAAAAAGTTGGCATAATTTACAAAGTTGAGTAAGCCAATCTTTCAAATGACTTTAAAGGATAATAAAAATAGAAATATGTTATATGATTGAATTGCTTCCACCTATAGTATATTTAGTTCATCAATGCATTAGAATAACAATTCGTAGTTATTATTTATTACCGTATAATAGATAAAGGCATTAAAGCATAAAGTTAAAAATTTCTCAATGTCATTCCTTAGGTTTTTATTTAATTCCATTTAGTATCTGGGTTTCTTGATTCTTAAAACAGTTCTCTTTTCATCGTATTACATTATTTCTGGTGCAGTTACTAGAATCTTTTGGTCTAGTAACAGGGCAGACAACCCAAAGGGTAATCAAACATTTGCCTATGGTTAATGGAGCACTGCAGAGCAGAAGGGAACTATGTCTTCATGGATGTTTTATCTACTAACCTTGTATCATGGAAATTAGCCAACTCTACAATAGAGAGATCTGAATGCCAGATATATTTTTTTAATTTTTCATATTAACAGGAGAGCATGGTTACTAATGAGGGGTCATATCCCAAATCTCTAATCTATAAAGCTAATTATCCTTATTTCTATTTGAGTCATTTTTTTTTATTCTGCTCTATTTACTTTTACTAAATTATACTACTTTTTGTTCCATGTTACATTTGGTTATATTTATATTATAAAGTTTTATGTATAATTCATAAATCACTCATGTGCTTATGTCTTTCTCAAAGTTTATTATTAAAGTCATAGCTCTCATAATTAACTTAACATGTATCACTCCAAACATCCCTATATGATTTAATCAGTCATTAAAATGTTTGTTGCAGCTTTTGGGGAATTCTAAAAATTTCTGAGCACTAGTACATTGAAACACAGTTTTATGTTAATCAGAAATGTTCTGAAGTACAGCAAAGACATTTAAAAACTGCTGAAAATAAATATACTTTAAAAGACAAAATAACATGTAAATAGCTTTACATGTTAAGAGTCTAGAGTCTATGGTTTGAACTTAAGCATATATATCTTATTAGGCAAACAATATACACATTAAACTCCCTCTTCTGCCTATTACATTATACCATATGTTTCCTTCTATTTGGAGGAGAGATAACACAGCATTGAGATTGTTAAGGCCTCGCAGCATTTGCATAATGAACAGTATATTTTTAAACAGAAAGGCTATCTCTTACAGCACGTGAAATAAAATAAAAAGACTTAAGATTATGAAGAGTAAAGAAGATAAGATATATCCTCACCTACCTTGATTTTACCTTTAAGCAGCCTTTTATTTGTCTATTAGGAACTTCTTCCCGAGGTTTTATAGGCTTCAGCTCTTGTTCTTTCTTTTGACAAACCAATATATAATTTGTGCCATTATTATTTGACCAAAATGTACCAAGAGACGTTTCATAACGTATACAAAACTCAACTTTACTGCCATCTTTCTGATAAGGAGGAACCAATGTAATTTTAAAAGAGAATTGGTCAGTTTCACCATCACATGAATTCGGGACATATTCTGCTAAAATGTCATAATGTGTCTGCCAGTCATCTAAGGACATTCTCACATACACTAACTTCTCAAAAGAAATATTTAAAACTCGAATAATTCCCTTCATACATGTAGACCTGGGAAGATACTCGGCTGACTCCAGTATCGCTTTCTGTCCTTGAAGTTGTTGCATAAGATCTTCTTTTGAAGAAGGCAAATCAAATAGTGGAGATAAAACATATTCTTCTGTGTGGAAAATGTCCTTTCTTAAGTCAAAATTGGTGGAAATACTCGGTAAATCCCAGCAATCAAATTCTTTGACAGATACAAGATTGAATCCAAAGGCATCAGCAAATGATACTCTTCTCGTACCTGAGGATGGAGTGTCCAAGTACATATCTTCAGAAGAATCAGAACCTCGTCTACTAGGTTGAGGGGAGAAACCAGGTTTGAAGGTAGCTTTAATGTCTTCATCTTCAGAAAGAGAATCAGATAAATTAGGAACTTCTAAAAAGTTATCTTTGTTAATCTGACTAGGTTCCTCAGAAGGCTCCATTGGGCTATCTGATATCAAATAAGGGAGAACTGCACAACTAGTAGCGGCTGATATTTGAGATACAGAGGCTAAAATAAGTATAATGTTACAGTTCACATTACAAGAAGGAGTCAGCTCTATAAATAGGTCTGATGGCGTGTAAACTATGCTAACTTGCCTCCAAAGGCCTTTAACATGATAGTATCCATGTTACTCTCACCAGAATATTACAGATTTAACTCTCAGATTTTTATGTTGCATGTGTTTATGAGCTGACTTACAAAAAGACATTTTAAATAATTTTTGCTGTGTCAAGTATACAAAGTTTTCATCCTAGGTCCCTGAACCAAAAATTTAAGAATTATTGATATTTGCAAATAATTATTTGACAATCAGAGGATTTGGTCCTATAAATTAAAAGTAGACTATGTGCCAGTCCTTCCCTTTTATGCATCTAAAGTTCAGCCGAAACTGAATCAGTATCTATGATAAAAATCTCTTTTCTATATAATATAAAAAATACATAATGATGTTTATATGAACATTACAATTATATATACCTAATCTGACTATTTAGGTGAGAAATAAATAGAACTTGCTTAATTTTTCATAAGCTACTCTTGGTTTTGTGAATAAATAATATTTATCACCATTCTAAATTTTCTCATGGTGAGTCATCTTTTACCAAGAGAGTAGTCAAATATCTTTAGATTATTTTAGATTTTTCTTAAGAAAGAAAAGAATCTAGGCATAATCTCTTGCTTAACCCAATAGTTTAGCTATATATATATTTAAATCATATAACAAAATGTTGTCAAAAATATAAGGAAATGAGAAATATATGTTCTATCACATAGAATCAGTTTGAAAGTTAAAATGCATTTGGCAAATCTATTGTATACTCCATTTGGGAGTTTGTGTTGGTTCATTATAAGGTTAAAATTATATTGTCCTAGACTTGGAAAGCTCGTACAAAGTTATTTTGTCCAACCACCAACTTTTAAAGATCCCCTTTAAGATTTATTAATAGGAACACTTCTATCTTTACCTTGGATAAATCTAGAGATAGCTGACTCACTATTTCTTAAAGCAGCACATTACGCTTTTTAAAATTTATCGCAATTATTATTTTGTGCCACAATCTAATTTAGGTTAGTTTTTGTATTTTATTTTTGTTTTTGTTTTCCAGAAGCAGAATTTTATATCCTCACAAAAACTTACTGTGTTAAGCAAGCCTTCATAAAAATTTGTGTCAAGTGAAGCAAAACTTTTAAAGTAATGCATTCATACAGAAAAGTTTACAAATCATAAATATACAACTCATTGAATTTTTCCTGAACCTGAACTTAGCTGTTTAATACTAACTGGTTCAAAAAAAACACATACCAACATTCCAGCCAGAAATCCATTTCAAACCCATTCCCAGTAGCTACCTCTCTCTCAAAGATAACCACTATCTTGACTTCTATCACACTGATTAGTTTTCCTGGTTTTTAAACTTAATTAAATGGAACCTAACTCTTTGGCATTGGGCTTCTTTTGATTAATATGTTTGTGAGATTCGCCCATTCTCTTTGCTATATAATATTTTATTTTATAAATAGATGAGAACTTATTATTCATTCTACTGTTGAAAGAAACATTTGGTTTCTTTCTAGATTTGAACCATTAAAGACAGTTATTCTATGAACATTCTTGTATATGTAGTTTGGTACACAGATATATGCATTTCTGTAGGTATACGTCCAAGAGTGCATTTGCTGGATCATAAAGTATGTATATATTCAGCTTTTATAGATACTATCAGTTTTCCAAAGTGGGGTAACAAATATACACTCCGAAACATAAGTATGAGAGTTTGAGTTGTTTCACATTTTTGCAAGCACTTACTATTGTCAGTAGTTGTATTTATCACCCAGGTAGTTGTACAATGGTATCTTATTGTGGTTTTCATTTGAGTTTTCCTGATGTCTATTAAAGTTAAGCATCTTCTCATTTTTTGGCCACCTGGATATCTGCTTTCATGAAGTAACTGTTCAAGGTAGATATATACATAAGAGAGGATAGGTAGATGATGATAGATGATATAGATGATAGATAGATGATAGGTGATAGATAGATGATAAATGATACATAGATAGATACAGACAGATAGATAGACAGATAGATAGATGATAGATATGTGAGTCTTTTGTCAAAAATATATTTGTACATGTCTGTATATGTATTATTTCTTCAATTATGTGACTTGCCTTTTCACTTTCATCTTTTCATAAATATAATTTATTTAAAGTAGTCTATTTGCCAGTCCTTTAGATAAATTCTTTTTAGCTTTCATTTTTAGATCTGCATTCTATCTGGAACTGATTTGTGGATATGATAATAGGTAGGAGAATCAAGATTTATTTTGTTGCATAAGACTATCCAATGTATTCAGCATCACTTATTGAAAAGACTTTTCTTTCCCCCTACACTGTGATGTCATCTTTGTAATAAAATTAGTGGTCAGATCTGTTTCTGTACGCTCTAATTTAGAAGATTATTTTATTTTACCATTTTTGGGTTAATATCATATTTTAATTGTTGTAGCTTTATTGTAAATCTTCATATTATATCATCTAAAGTAAGTCTCAGCTTGTTTTTCTTCAAAATTTTCTTGGCCCTATGCAACTCCATTTAAATCTTAGAATCAGCTTCCTCAACAAATTCTAAAGATTTTTTTCTTGTGCATTGTCTATAGATTATTACAAGGTAGTTTGATGAAAATTGACATTTTTACAGTTTTAAGTTTTCCAATCTTTATTTTACTTTATTTTTTAAATTAATTAATTAAATTTTTTATGGTGACAGTTAATGAAATCCAAAAAGTTTCAGGTGTACATTTTAACAGTAAGGTATATATATATTTACACTGTGTGTTCATCTCCCATAGTTAGAGTTCTTTAGGTCACCAAATATTTGACCTTTTTACCCTCTGGTAACCACTAGTCTATAGTCCATATCCATGAATCTCTGTTTCTCCTGTTCATTTGTTGCTTTTAGATATCATCCCATATATAAGTGATATCATGTGATTTTTAACTTTTTCTGTCTGACTTATTTCACTTAGCATGATTATCTCGAGAACCATCCATGTTGTCACAAATAGCAGTATTTCATCTCTTCTTATGGCTGAGTAATACTCCATTGTATATATGTACATCATATACAAATGTATTTTCAATCATCTTCTTTATCCAATCATCTATTGTAAAACACTTCGCTTGCTTCCATGTCCCGGCCACTGTGAATAATGCTGCTATGAACATTGGTGTGCAAATATCTTTTTTGGATATGGGTTTTCAAGTCTTTGGGGTGAATACTCAGTAGTAGGATTGCTGTTTCATATGGTAAATCAATTCTTAGTTTTTTGAGGAAACTACATACTGTTTTCCATAAGGGCTGTACCAATTTTCAGTCCCACCAGCAGTGTATGAGGGTTCTTTTTTCTCCTCATCCTCTCCAGCATTTGTTATTACTTGTACTGTCGATAACAGCGATTCTAACAGGTGTGAGATGGTATCACATTGTAGTTTTGATTTTCATTTCTCTAGTAGCTAGGGATATTGAGCATCTTTTAAAATATTTGTTGGCCATTTGTATATCCTCTAGGGAGAAGTGTCTGTTTAGGTCCTCTGTTCAGTTTTGATTGGATTGTTTGGTTTTTGTTGTTGTTATTGAGTTGTATGAGTTCTTTGTATATTTTGGATATTACACCCTTATAGGAGGTTTTGTTTGCAAATATATTGTCACATTCGAATAGTTGTCTCTTTACCTAGTTGACGATTTCTTTTGCTGAGCAGAAGCTTTTTAGTTTGATGTAGTCCCTTCATTTACTTTTACTTTTACTTCCCTTGCTTTTAAGGTCAGATTCATAAAATCTTCTTTAAGTCCAAGGTCCATGAATTTAGTTGCTATGCATTTTATTGTTTCAGGTCTTATATTCAGGTCCTTAATCCATTTTAAGTTAATTTTGGTGTGTGGTGATAGACAACAATCTAGTTTCATTCTTTTGCAGGTGGCTTTCTAGTTTTCCCAGCACTATTTATTGAAGAGGATTTCCTTTCTTCACTGTATGTTTTTTGACTTTTTGGTAAAAAATTATTTGGCCTTGTAAATATGGGTTTACTTCTGGACTCTTGATTCTGTTCCACTGGTCCATGTGTATGTTATTCTGCCAATACCATGCCGTTTTGAATACTGTCACTTTGTAGTATATTTTGAAATTGGGCAGAATGATGACTACAGCCTCATTCTTCATGATCACATGGTTTGGCAATTTGGGATCTTTCGTGCTTCCATACAAATCTGATGATTTTTTTTTGTTCTATTTCTTTTAAAAAAGCCAATGGGATTATGATGGGGATTACATTAAATCTGTATAATGCTTTAGGTAATATGGTCATTTTAACTATGTTAGTTCTTCCAATTCAAGAACATGGAATAACTTTCCATTTCTTTGTATCTTCTTTGATTTCTTTTAATAGGGTCTTATAGTTTCATTATATAGATCTTTCACATGATTTCTTAGATTTATTCCTAGGTATTTTATTCTGTTTGTTGCAGTGGCAAAAGGAATTATTTTTTTCCAATTTTTCCGACAATTCATTATTAGAGTGTAAAAATACTATGGATTTTTGAACATTGATTTTGAATCCAGAGACTTTCCCATATTTGCTCATTGTTTCTAATAGTGTTCTTGTGGAGTTTTTAAGATTTTCTATATAAAGTATCATGTCATCCACAAATAGTGACAGTTTGACTTCTTTGTTTCTTATTTGGATGCTTTTTATATCTTTGTCTTGTCTGATTGCACTCGCTTCCTAGCGAGTGCAATGTTATATTGAATAACTTCCAATGTTATATTGAATAGTGGCGATCATGGACAGCCTTGCTTTTTTCCTGATCTTAGAGGAAAGGTTTTTAGTTTTTCACCATTAGGTATAATGTTGACTGAGGATTTGTCATAGATGACCTTTATTATTTTAAGGTACTTTCCTTCTATAC